TGAAAGGCCCGCTGTGTTGAGAATCTGCCTGGGAACAGACCAAGAAGAAGGAGGGCAGAGCGAGAGGGGCAGAAACCAAGTCCTGTGGCAGCATCTAAGATTCTGGATCCAGTTGCTCCTGAAGCAGGTTCTTGAGTTCTGCTACAGGACTTCCCTGTGACCTGAGCTTTTTAACCCCATTAAGTCATTTGAGTTGGGTTTCCATCACCTGTAACCGAGAGTTCTGGTCATTGGACGTTAGGGTTGCTTATAGTTTTTCCCCCATTATAAACAATGTTGCCATGAACACCTTTACATACAGAGCTAACCTTTGATTAGGAGAATTTCCTTGTGATATTTTTGCAGGAGTTACTTGGTGAAGCGACCAAACATTGTCAGGTCCCTACAGACACTTCGTAAATAGTTTCCTCGAGCTTGGCAATGATTTGGACCCCTCACCTCCACTTCCCAACAGTGTATACAACCGTGACCAAAAAGATGGAGTTCTGGAGAAGTTTTCTTTTTTAACAAGCCAAAGTTGTATTTGTTTTTTAAACAGGAAACTTAGGTTAATATAAAACAGATAAAAACAGACAAAAATCAAAACACACAACACACAAAAGCACAACACACAGGAACCAGTGCAAACCCTTCCCAACCCACTTGCCCCAAGTTTTAAAACCTTTATTACAGTTCCCCAAAGATTAGGCTGTATTGGAGAGGTCACAGTATTGAATCAGAAAAATATTGACAAGAAGAGCAAGAGACATTTTTAAAAAGATCTGTACACAGGTAGTGGGGGTGAGGGGAAGAAGACGCTTCACCACTCCAACATCAAAAACACAATGCAGAAGGATTTCAGTGGCTATCACAGATTTCTAGAACACTACAATGTACGCTAGTCCCCTGCCCGTTTTTGAAAGTTGGTTTTAAAAAGGATAAAAAGTGCACAGACACTTTCATAAGGCACAGACAGATTGTCGTACAAGTCATTTCATCAGGGACTTGGAAAAGACAGTGAGAAAATTAAATACCGAGAAATGCCAGGCGGCCCCGCGTTCCTGAGCCGCTGCCCGTTTGCCAGGAGCGGGGCCGAGGTGGGATCCAGTGGGAGGCAGCTGCCTCTCGGGCGCCAAGACTTCGCACAATCCCCTTCCAAACTGGAGCTACCGGGGGCTCTCTGGGAACTTGGGGTCTGATTTCCAGGAACCAGTCCCAACACCTGAGAGTAGCAGACAGCCCTCTCTCCTCACTTCTGCCTGGCAGGACCTGAGGGCGGCCATCAGCCGGGTGGGGACTTTGGGGGTTCTGCCCCAGGTCTGTGACCTCGAGGCAACAGAATGGCTAACAAAGCCCAGCAACATCTGCCCCAAATGCCTCATTCCCCTCTTACTGCCTCTGACCTTAGACCTAGGGCGCTGCCCTCCCAGCTCTGAGCCATCCTCTGATCACCCCACACCAAGCAGGTGTTCAGCAGGTGTTTGTTGAATGACTTTGTGTGCATGTACATAGGTTTTACCAACCCCCTGCACACTCATGGCCCGGTTTCTCATTTGTTCAGCAAACCTGGAACGAGTACCTATTATAGGTGAGCAGAGCCCAACACCAGAGGGGTCAACCAAAGCCGAAAAATCAGTCTGCTCCTGCCCCAGACCGCAAGCTCCCTGCGGGCCTTTGCTTTAGTCCTGGTTCCCACCCCTGGTCCGGGCAGACCACACCGACCCCGGAGCACTGAATGGCTGAAAAAGTGCTGTTGCCATCCAGCGGGCAGCCGCCCCGGGGAGCCAAGACCCCCGAAGACTCCCAGCTCTGTGAAAGGACCAGAAAAAGGAACTTGTTTTGATTTGGAAACAGCCCAAATTCTCTGGCAATTCAAAAAGAACAGGCCCGAGGCCACAGCACAGGGGCGTCCCCTGGTCTCCCTGGACCCACTCCGGGGGGCCGTGAGGCCCAGGAAGGGGTTGGGACACGGCCTTCAGCCCCTCCCCAACGCTGCCCCCTATGCCTGCCCCCAGGGACTGGCGGAGGCTGTGGGGCTGGACCCAAGCTCTCTCGCAGCTCAACTTAGCGGGGAGAAGGCGAGCAGTAGACAGATGAGCCCAAAAGGAAGGACACTTGTCCTTCCGGAATGTGGGTGGCACAGGGGACACAGCCAGGAACAGGTCCCCAGACTCTCCAGGGGTCGCTCAGGTGAGTCTCTAGGAAGAAAACTCAGGCAGCCTCCGCCTTCCTGGGACTCGGGCCAAGCACGGGAGAGGGGTTCGGCACCACCCACTCCTGGGTTTGAATCCCAGCCCTGCCACCTCCTGTTCTGTGGTTCCCTGTCCTCTCACTCCCAGGACCTCAGTTCTCGTACCTGCCAACTGGGGATAATCCCATATTTCATTGATTCTAAATGTGGTTTTCTCCCCACATTTCAACAGCTCTGATCGGGATGAGTTGTATAGCTGAGGCATCTCACAGTTAAAGTTGGCGGCATCTTTTCCTTAGCGGTACATAAGATGCTGTTTCATAGTCGCTGCTGTCTTGGACATGGCCCCGGATGGTGACGGGCCCTGGCTCCCGGGGTTCCCGTGTGGTGGCACCTTCCTCCCACGGCCCCGGCTCAGAAGAAACCAGAGGCTCCCTCTCCTTCCTCCTGCCCCGTCGCAAGACGAAGCCCGAGGGCAAAGCGAGCAGCCCCTCTGGGGCACTGAAGAAATCAGTTCAGAGCATCAGGAAATGTCTGCTTTGGAGAAGACAAACACGCCCTTAATTCCTCTTGGACGCAGGAAGCTATTTATAGCAACTGCAGAGCAAGTCCAACAGGCCACTGGCTCCTCTCACCCAGGTGACAGGTTGCCAGGAGCACAGCCTGGTCTACTCTGGGTCCAGGCCCTCGGTCACTGGTTTTCTGGTGGTGCCCGTACGTGACCCTGGCTGGAACCCGCGGGGGCGGTCAGGAACAGCAAGGGGCAGGAGACAGGGGCTGGCTCCCCCAGGCCGCCAAGGCCACCAGAGCTGTGGCTGTGGCCCTGGCCAGTCAGGGGTACTGCTGCCTGGAGAGCTACAGTCCCAGGGGTGACGAGCCCCTCACACAGGGCCTGCGCCCCCAGAGAAGGCTCCCGCTGACCAGGTTCAGTGGGGCCCGAGCGCTGTCTGGATTCCCAAACTCTTATCATGGCAAGCACGGGGTTCCAGCAGCTCCCCTAAAGATTCTGCTGCAAAATTAAAATGTGGGCGTGTTTCCCAAATTCATTAGGGAGAACGGACCAATCAGGGGTTCCTGCAGGGGCAAGAGTAGGGTTTCTGCAAGTGGGACCAGAAAACGGTGACCACTCCCAGGCAGAGCAGCAGGTGGCCCAAGACCTGGAGTATCACAGCGGCACTGCTGACTGGTCTCCCGGCACCTCCTGTCGCAAAGGCATGGCCCGGCTGGGCTCTGGGCCCCCAGACACCCAGCAAACACTAACGCCTGAACTCTGAACATTCTCCTTTCCCTGCTCCCTCAGCAGATCAACAACAGGTTAGGAATTGCAATAGAAAGGATACCTGCTCTTTGCAAGGTGACTCGGGACCTTTAGAATGTGGTGCTGGTCCTTCCAGAGCTCCAGAGTGGGCAGGTGCCAGGCTTCCTCTTGGTCACACTAGGGACGGAGAAACAGAGAGTCCCAGGGACTTGCCTAGAGACACAGTCCAGGACAGGGCAGATGTGGGGCCCAGAACTGGGGGCAAGAAGGAAGGAGGGGGTGAGGGCAGCGCTGGGGTCCCAAGAAATGCTTAGCAAATAGCCCTGGGTAGCGGGACAGATCCAAGGCCAGCATTTTTCAGTTAATATCTCAGTCATTAGTTGACATCCCAAGGGTCAGTGAGCATCTTAGCAATCAACCGGAGAGGATAAGCTAAGAATCAGAACAAAGACCGTTGCGAAGCCCTCCTCCTTCCTCCTTCTACTGTGCCAGCAGGTCGCCCCGGTGACGGTGACGCTCACAGGCACGGGGTTCCAACAGGAAGTGCGGAGAGTTGTCTGTGCCCTGCAAGAGGCCTTTCTGACTCCAGGGGAGTCTCGCCTCTAGATTTCTTTCCCTCCCCTCCCCCCTCCCCCCAGGAAAAGATAACCTGTTGCTTGTCTTCTCCTTGGACGTGGTGGGGTGGTGCAGACCCAAAGCATCTAGGGACAGAGTCAAGTGCAGTGTGCTTATTGTCGGGCTGTCTGGGGGGGGGGGAGGGGTGAAAAGGCTTCTGGGGGCGACCCTGCCCAGAGCTCTCCAGAGGCTGCAGCACCCATCAAACCGCCTCTCCAGGACGGAGTTAGAAACCAAAGAAGCAAATTGTTCTTTTATGCTCTCCGCCCACCTAAACCCCAAGGAGTTGCTGCTTTGGAGCTGTAAACAATGAGCTATTTTTTCCTCTTGTTAGCAAATCTGCGTGTCCCTTTTCCATACCATCTGAGGGAGTTCTGTTCAGGTGCGGGCTTCACACATTCAAAGCCAGCCGACGTCACGGCCCCAGAAAGCGAGCGGCTTCTAGTCTTGCTGACGGCTGGGCTCCAGATCGTGCATTCCTTCGTGTTAAATAACCTCCCAGAGCCAGGATCCCTGGGTAAACACCTACGCACTCTCTCTCACTCTCTCACACATGCCCTCTCCCTCCTCGCTCTCCCTCCCCGCCCCTTTCTCAGACACATACATGCACCGACACACACAACTCAACCCACCCCCAGCAAAAAGCATCGCACAGAGGACGCCGTTTCCCAGCCACGAGGTCCCCAGAGCGGCAGGTGGTCTGCCTGGCAGTTCCTGAGCTTGCTCTCGGGATGGCATTTTGGAGGCAAAGCACTTTCGAGCCAGAAGCAGCCCTCGCGAGCGCTCAGACTCCCAGGGCCCCGTCTCCACGACTGTCACGCCTCTTGCCCGACACCGGAGAGCGACAGATGAGAGGGCCGCTGCCCTTGGACTCCCTTGAGGCCATGGTGGTTGCCGGGCCCCGAGGGGCTTCAGAAGGGTGACCTTGCTCCGCCTAAGGCCCGTCCACGGGCCAGGCTACGGCCTGTAGATCTTAATGACGTCTTTGATGGGTCGCCGGCAGATGGGGCAGCAAGCCCGCGCCTGCCTCCTGAGCCGCAGGCCGCAGCTGTAGCACAGGCACATGTGTCCACACGTGTAGATGACCGTGTCCACTTCGCTGTCGAAGCACACCGTGCACTCGCCGTTCTTGCTGCCCACCGGTTCCGGTGGGGGGAACACGGGGGACACCGGGGGGCTCAGCGGGGAGCTGGGGGCGGTCACTGCAGGGAGGAAAACCAGGCCAGACCTGAATCACGTGGCTCACGGCTGGGTTCTGCTGGGGCAACCCCACGAAGGCCAAGCTTCAACGGGGGGAACCTATGCGGGAGCAACTTCGGGAGATACCAGTTCTGGATTTCCTTCTGGGCTTTGCCCCTTTTCCTACCCTCCTACTCCCGAGCATCAAGCACCAGTATCACCCTCTGGGGTGCCCTATCTAGACGGTTCTCCTCCCTCCCGCTCAATACAGGCGGGAGGCGCGGGCACAGCCGAAGGAGCCGGGCCAGCCCCGGCCCCCCGCTCCACGGACTGTTTCCTTACCCAGGGATGACTCGGATGCCGAGGAGGACTGGTTGACACTGAGGGCCATATCGGAGTCGCTGTCGTCTTGGGAGCCGCCGAGCGACCCTGACGGCGACGGGATCGCAGGGCCGGACTGCAGGGTGCCTGAGACCAAAGAGACCCTGTCAGGTGGTGCCTCTCCGCCCGGCCCTGGCTCCGTGCTGCTCTGCACCTTCGCCCCCCGGGCTGTCTCATGGGAGGACAAGAGCCACCCCGCAGGGTTTGGATGGAGTCGTGCGCGTGCAGTGGACGCCTGCTGTTTGCCTGCCCGGCCACCATCCCCCCTCCATTTCCAGGCAACAGTGCAGGGGTTCTGTTCCGCTCACACGGGCCGGGTCAGGCCAGGGAGAACTTCCATCTCTTGGTTGCCCTGGCAGTTCAGGGAAGGCCCTGCAACCCAGTGAAGGCTGGCGAGGCCTGCCCGTGAACTTCCCCTCCCTCTGTCGGGAAAGGGCTCATTCCAGTGGGAGCTTAGCCCAGTGCTGCGGAGCCTGCCTGAGCGAAGCCAACACAGAGGGCCGTGAACTTCGAGATGGAAAGAGGGACGGGCTCCTAATGGCACCCTTTCAACACCTCAATCAAACAACAGTTGCTGTTGTTACCATCACTGCCTATTATTACACGTGCGGTGGCAGGCACCTGCTGAAAGCACCTCGCAACCCCGGGACACAGGTAACTGCTCCCTTCCTGCACAGAAGGAAACGGGGGCTCAGAGACTCTGAGCTGCCCAACGTCTTCATAGCTGACCAGCTACAGGACTGGGACAGCCCTTACATCTCTCTGTGCTTCAATGATCTTATCCAAAGATAGCACAAGGACACCCGTTTCACACCCTCCCTAGGAGGATGCATCGAATGAGGTCACACGTGAAATGCTCATCGTTCCTGTGATCATTTGGACTTCACTTCTCAGACCATGAAAGTGGAGCCGTGCCCTGGGGGAACCTTCTCCAACCACCACTTCCCTCGGCCGAGTGGGACAGAAGCGGTCGGTGGGACAAACAGCACCCCGGGAAGCTCTCCACGGAGGCGCCTGGTCCTGCTTCTGCCCCGCCCTCCTGGAGCCCACGCCTGGCCCCCTGCTGGCAGGCGCGCTCCGCGTGTCTGCTCAGGGCATGAATGAAGGCAAGGATCATCTCCAAAGAGGATGGTTCAAGCCTCCATTCCATTTTCTGTGGGCAATGTTATTATTTCCTCTTCTAAGTGTATTTGTATTTACTTTTTCTCCTACCCTTCATATGCATTACATTCGTAAAAAAATAACAAGTCCTCTCATCATAACAGGAATAAAGGTTGCACTGACCATTTACCAACCGCATAAAGGGTGCTAGGCCCTGACACCAGCGGGTACTTAGGTCGGTGGGGACCACGCGCGGTGCAGGGAGCTGCAACCTGGGCGACCCGGGGACACATGCTGGAAAGGGTATCTCGGGCCGTCCTATGGAAACTCCCAGTGGAGGTGGGTGGGTCTGAGGCACGCTCAAGTTTGGGAACCGCGGGTTGGGCTCCAGCAGCGGCGCAGTCAGGGCACTCACCGAGGAGGCGCAGCTGGCCGGCGGCACCGCCACGCACGGCGAAGAAGGCCCAGAGCGCCTGCGTGGTGTCCACGCACATCAGGCGGCCTCGTGGGCGCCCGTTGATGCCCAGATGCACGTCGCCACCGGGCCGCAGCGTGAAGCTGAGCGAGTCGCCGCCGCTTGGCACCGGCCCGGCGCGCGCCACCACCCAGTACTCCTTGCGGTCGAGCAGCGAGTCGGGGTCGGCAGGCAGCTCGGTGGGCCGGAGGCCGCCCGGGTCGCACGACGTGATGCCGAAGGCCAGCGCGCCGGGCGCCGGCAGCCCCGGGCGGCCCAGCTCCACGAAGAGGCTCTCCCCGGGCCGCAGCGGGCGCTCGGAGAAGACGAGCGTGCGGCCACCGTCGGGCCGCGGCGCGCAGGCCACCTTGCGGTCGGTGGACAGGCACACGTCGGGCCCGCGCATCACGTGGAAGCGCAGGTCGGCCTCCAGCAGCGCCGGCGATGACGCAGGGCGCGGGCGCTCGCGGGGCCCGCACGGGATGGCGGAGACCGCGTTGTCACCGGGCGGCGGGGCCGGGGCGCGGCCCAGCGCCAGGTGGCCCAGCTTGGCCACCACCTGGTTGTTCTCCAGCTCGTTGTTGTCGAAGTTGGCAGCGTCGAGGCTGCCGGGCGGCGGGCAGGCGCTGAAGCGGGCCTGGCTGATCCGCGCGGGCGGCAGCGTGTCGGCGAAGGCGCTTTCTGTGCCGGGACAGAGGAAGGGCAGGTGAGGGCTGGGGCCCGGCCACCGGAGCCCCCTGCCCCCGCTACACCCCTGCCTGTGAGCAGGCGCCATCCTCCCCCTCCCCCCTCCATTCTTTTTCTGGTTCATTTGTGAATTGATTTTAAGAATCACAGATGCACAGAACTGGATGAAGCACAACCTTAGTTTCCTTGACACATTCTTACCTTAGCGATGGGAAGATAGGCACCCCCCCCTTCCCTTTCTCCTTCCTTCTCTTCATCTCTCTTCTCTCTCCCTTTTTTCTCCACCCCTCCACCTTTCCTTCCCTCCTTTTCTCTCTCTCCTGTCTTCCCTCCTTTCTTCCTCTTCCCCTCCCTCCGAGATTTACATACTTTTGAAGGTTTAAAGGGCTTTCAAAAACTCTTTATTGTCTGTCTTCCCAAGTGGAACATTAACTCCAAGAAAAAGTGGAAGCCCTTTTTGCTCTTTATCTATGGCCTTATCCAGTGACAGGGCCTATTTTAAGCTCCTCTCCTTGTTTAGGCCTCACACTGTCGGCGAGGTGTGTACTGTGCGTACTCGCCCCTGAGCCCAGAAGGGCGTTGAGACAGAGAGGGGTCCACAAACATGACCAAGGTCACACGGCAACTAAGCGGCAAAGCCAGGACAGGAACCCTGGCTGGCCGGCCCCAGGGTGCAGGTTTGCCTACACCCACTAACTCTGAAAGACGGCGGCACGGAGCACAGTGCCCGGGTCGTACTCAGACGCTGGACGTGGAGGGCTTCCGGGAGAGAGGGACTCATTGTAATAACAAGAAACTAAGGGGGAGTTTCTTAAAAACCACAGCCATGGAAGTATTTTTGAATCATCTTTAGCGGTAGGATGTTAGAGTTAAGTAAAAAAAGCAAAATAAAAGTATTTGTCATTCAGGTTGTCGAGGTCCCTGTATTTGGTAGGGAAATGATTGGCCATCTCCCCAGCTGGAGTGTGAGCTCCTGGGGGCAGAGTCTGGCCCAGTCTGCTCGCCAGCACGTTCTCTGGGCTTCGCAGAGAGCTGGCAAAGAGCCCTCATTACTATGTGGTTTATTAGGCTGATAAGGCCCATCCAATCGGAAAGAGAAGAAAGTCCTTCAAGTATTATGAAGCTTTTTTAGTGATAAAAATGTTATCAACCATAATAAGTCAACAAAGCAAGAAAATGTGTTTCTCAAGCTTTCAAATCAAATCCCTGTTGCTAAGATTTTGTTACATGTTACCATTCTATAATTTATATCATGGAATAAAATATTTCTTCCTCTTTGGTTTTCCAAATATAAGATGGAGTCATACTAATGAACATGCTTTTTCAAAGAGCTGGCCTGAGCCCCCGGTGAGCATCCGGTGGGCCCCTACACACCCCTGCCCCCACAGGGCAAATGCTGCAGACTGGCACCCAAGTTCTGATCCTGGCTCACAGGCCTGTTTGGTTGGCCCCCTGGTGTTTTTTCAAAGTTTTTTTTTTTTTAACTCTATATTCAAAAAACTAACCTATCCAAATAGAATAATGAATGTTGACTCTCCAGGTTCAACAATGACCAATTCGCAGCCCATCTTGTTTCACTGACACCTCCACCAACTCTCCCTCCTACAGCACTTTGAAGCAAATCCCAGGCCCACCATTTCATCTGCAAAAATTTCAGTGCCTCTCTCAAGATGAGAGCAGCACACGACTCTCCCCACGAGCTCTCCCCACCAGGATGTCGGCCTCAGTTGCGGCCTCCTCCATGGGAGCCAGCGCCACGCCTGCCTGCCTGCCGGCCTCCCCAGAGGACCTTGCGCCTCTTAGCGGTGGGCTCCTTGCCTGACTATGGATACTCGAGGATTAGGGCATAAACTTGATGGCTGAGCGAGTGAGTAGATGAATGAATGAGCCAATGGATAAATACATGTGTGAATGAGTGAATAAGTAAGCAGGTGGGCAATGGAGCAGAGGAAAGCCACGGAATGGATGCACGAAGCAGTGAGTGAATGAGCAAGTAACTGAGTGAAGGAGCAAGCAAATGAACCTGGGCTGCACTGCGGACTCTGGACCAATTTGGCTTTGCCATTCAAGTCATTTAACCTCAGTTTTCTCAAATGTAAAATAGGGATGGCGAGTTGTCCTGAGAAATAAGTAAGTTAGAATCTGTCAGTTGCTTATAACTATGCCTGGTGCAGTGAGCCCACAGCGTGGTGTTCAAGAAACACACATCCAGGAGGACAGAGAGACATTGCCTGGGCGGGAAGAAGCGCCGCCCCGCCCCCTTGCAGCAGGGACCGCGACGCGACGCGACTTACCGAGGAGCTGCACCTCGTCGGTGATGCCATAAACGTCGATGAGAGCCCAGAGCGGGCCGCCCACGGCCACACCGCAGTGGAACAGCACGGGCTCGCCGTCGTTGACACTGTAGAAGACGCGGCCGTGGCGGTCCACCCAGTAGGCCAGCACGGTGTCGCGCAGCGCCAGGTTCTCAGGCAGTGCCTTGGCCCAGTAGCCGGGCCGCGTGACGAGGTCCGGGCAGGCGTACTTGGGGATGTCCTGCGGGCTCATGAGCGACGGGTCGTGCGCCGTGAAGCCGAAGCGCAGCGCTCCGCTCCAGCCTGGGCGCACGGCCACCAGGCGCAGCCGTACCTGTTCGTACAGCCGGATGGGCCGCTGCGTGAACGTGACCCCGTTGCAGAAGCTGTTGCGCCGCGTGGCTCGGCGCGAGTGGCCGTCCAGCCGCACGTTCTTGCCCTTGGCCTGGGCGTGGAAGCGCGGGGCTTCGCCCAGGACCGGGCGCCGCTCGAGGCCAGGCCCGCAGCATTGCCGGGTGGCGAGAAGGCGCGCTGGAGGGCACGCGTCTGAGGGAAGAGACAGGCAGGAGGGTTAGCGCCCCTCGGAACTGTGTGGCCCCTATCGCTTTTTAACAATCATCTCCGTTTTAAATTCCATTTTAATTAGCCCAGTCATTGATACACTTGAGAAGGTTCCAGCACCCCAGTCAGCCCAACACTGCCACAGAAAAGTCACTATACCCACTTTACAGATGAGCTAACTGTGTGTATGTGTGTGTGTGTCACTGTTCAGATCTGTTTCACTCCCAGAGGAACGAATACCACTGAGCCTGTCCCTCCGCAGACAGGCTGGGGTCAACTGACTTCTCCATTCTCATTAGATCCTTCCAAGTCTTCCTCCAAGGGGCACTTTTAGGTTGCAGAGTCTGGCCAAACACAACAGGGGCCTTGGATTCTTGGGGAGGAATAAGGGGTCTTCGGCTGCTTTTCTCAGTGCAAGTTTTGTTCAAAAGCAAGGAAGAGAAGGCAACAGAAAGACTGCAGCCTCGCCATCCCCCGGAAATAGAAGGAAAGGTGACCGAGTGCAGCCTGGAAGCCCGGCTCTCGGGTCCCTCCTGGCTGAGTGACAGGTGGGAGATCTTGTCACTTCCCCAGCCTGTCTCCTTGCCTGTGAGATGGGGCATTACTTAACTCACAGTTGCTGAAAGATCATGAGGATGCAGTTTCTAGAATACTTCCTGGCACCAGTTATGTGATTAATAGGCAACTAATAATATCCTAATACTGAGCTTCCAAGGAGACCCAAGCTACAATTTGATGACTTCCCATTCCCTTTACCCACAGAAAATGAAGACCTTCTTTATAAGCGTGGTGGCTTCTCTAGAACATATACCCTTCAGGATTCATTTCTAAGGGAACTTCCCCCCTAAGGACCTGGAGAAGCTTGGGATGGTCTCTTTTAAAGGATCTGGCTGCTGGCCATGAACCCTGGTTGCCTGGGACTGAGGCGAAGGCTTAACCGCTCCCACCTGTCCTCTGTCCCGGGGCAGCTCCTGGGGGCTCCCCAGCAGGCGGGGCGGGGAGGGGTAATTACTGCCTGAATCTCTGCTGCTTGTTCCCAACATTTTCATGGCAAGTGCTCATCAATTGCGGGCAGCCCCGGGCACACACTGCTCTGTCACTCGTGGGGGAAGAACACGCCCCAGGGAATGACAGGCTCCTCCGTGCCCAGCCCGGGGTCACTGTGCTCTGGGCACATTGGGGGGCGGGCGGTGTTGATTAACATGGAGGCTAACGGGAGCGAGGACAGGAGAAAACGAAGAGGGAGAGGCAATGAGGAGGCAGGCGCGGCCCGGCCCGCGAGGAACGCCCCAGCCGCTGCGGGAAGAGGTCATGCTGAGAAGTGGAGAGGCCGCTCTCCAAACAGAAGCCCTTGACCCGCAGGAGGTGAAGTACAAGGAATAAAGCCAAGGCCTCCCACAAGAAAAGGCACTAAAGGGACGTGAGGCATTCATCCATTTGTCAAATGTTTAGTGAGCACCCAGTACGTGCACGGGAAATACGCCAGTCACCAAGGCGGGTGGGGTGCCCACCCAGCGCCACTGAGGTTCCAGACTCCGGCCGGCGGGGCGGCTACTGGGCCCAGAGGAGGCCCCGGCCTCAGCCAGGGGCTGGGGACAGGAGGGGGTGCCCACAGAGCCTTGAGAGGGGAGCAGGAATATTCCAGGCTGACGGAACGCGAGGGGCAGCAGGTGGGAGTGGGACTTTGTGGGGGCGGTAAGTGCCGTGGTAGGTGTGTCCGGGGTGTCTGAGGTTGGGCAGCCGCTGCCTCGCCGGGGCGGGGGCAACATGGCTGTAGACATCACAGGCACCGGATGAGAAGGCCCTGAATGCCAGCCCCCGAGGCTCAGACTGCACCGCGGAGGGCTCCCAGCAGAGCAGGACGGCACTGCCTGCCAGGGAGGGGCCCTGAGGCAGCAAGGAGAGGGGACGCAGAGCCAGGCTGCGGCCACCTCTGAGAGGGTAAGAGCGAGGGCCCACTGGAGAGCTCCTTCATGAGGACAAAAATCAAACGGGTGGAGAAACAGCGATGGGTGAAAACACTCGGGAAAGGCAGCCCAAGGATTGCAGAGCCGACGTTCTCCACGCACGCACGCACGCACGCGCACATGCACGCACACTGTGGCCCTGTCCAAGCCCCCAGCTTCTGGGCTACAGCCTCCTCCAGTATCCAACAAGCCAGATTGTCCCCAAGGTCCCCAGCGCTGGCAAACTCTCCAGGAAACATTAAATATGACCACAGATCAAAGCCCTTCTGGGCGCCAGAGACCACAAGCTGCCCTTGTTTGATGATTTTGAATTCCCCTGCCTCGCTGTTGCTTTTCCAACCTTATCTCTCCATCGACTATACCAAACAACTGGGGAATTCTAAGCAGATGTCCCTGCAGAGTGGCCTCGTGATTTAAATGGATGCTGGGGGGCAGGCAGAGAAGCACTGCTTTGTTACTATAAGGGGAAGTTTCCTGCGAAACCAACTATATGTTAGGATAAGATGCAGCCAAGTAACCAGTGAAGTTTACATATTTGTTTAATCTTGATTATATGATCCAACTTCCTTCAGGGAATAAGGGATAAACACTATTTTTCCCCCCTCAGAGGCCAGCAGTGCCCTGGTGTGAGTTAAAGAAAACCAGAGTGAAAAAAGTATCTAAGAAGATGTGTTATTTACACAAATTGAAAATGCTTAGAAGAAAAGAACAATAAGCAACCTCCAAACTGTACACCAACACATCTGCTTTGAGCTCGGCTTGGGGGAAGTGGCTTGGGGAAGAAACAGAAATCCAAACCCTGGAGAACATCCTAGTTTGGAGATGTCAGCGGAAACCCAGAACATCAGCGTGCGCCTCTCCTCTGGGCCCCTCAGTGAGACCTGGAAGACTGGGAAGAGTCATCTGCATGCTGTAAGATCGCCGAGGACGAAGCAGGCAAACCCGTCAGACACTCGACACGTGGCACATAGTAGGTGTTCGCTGAACACTTGGTCCCTTTTCAAAGTCACCTTAAGGGAAAAAGTTTATTCCCGGGCCGGATATGTCTGCTTGTGGGTTTGGTGAGTGACTATATTCTGAAAAGTGTCTCCCACGGAGGGCCGGCGACCTTGGCCAGGAAAGGCTTCTCGAAAACCCTGGGGTTGCTCTCACTTGGTGTCCAAGGACAGAGGCCTATTTTTAAGCCTTCTCCGCAGCAGCTCAGAAGTGCACTGTGCCACCCCCTGAATAAATCCTGCCCATCGTCCCAGCCCAGCCTCCCCTTGGCTCTAAAAAAGAGCCCGAGGAAATGGCGGTCACCGCCAGGACGACATGGAAAGCCACAGCTCCGACTCCCCTGGCCGCCGAGATCGCAGCTGCCAGCGCGCTGGCATTCAGCAGATGGCATTCTGGCTGAAATTTCCAGCAGGTTCTGGTCCACAGGGAAGGAGAGTTGCCAGCAGGCGCCCAGTCTATTCCGCACGCTCCTCTCACAACCAGCCTTTGATAGGGCCCTTACCACGCACCGGCGCGGGCCCGCGTGCGGGGGTTAGTCCTGAGGACGACCCTGCACGGTCAGCTTTACCCTCTTCATTTTCCAGATGAGGGAACGGAGGCTCTGAGAGGCAGCAACGCGGAGCAGTGGCAGGAGGGCCAGGCTCGGGCCTGTGTCCCATACCCACCCCTTCTCCAAGGCGGCCCTGTGGCCGTTGGGGGCCCGGGCCACGAACCTTGAAAGCAGCGCTCTTTCCCTGAAATGTACCCACACTGCACGCACAGCATTTGACATGGGGCTTCCTGGACTCACGTAATATCCACCCTCAGACCGTGGACCTCAAGTGAGAAGTCTCCGATTCCAGCCACCCGTGCCCAAGTCCCCAGTTCAGACCAACACTGTATGCGGTAGGAAGCCACACGGTGCGTGTACACGCGCATGTGTGTGGCGGCGTGTGCATTAGGGAGAAAAGGCAAGGCTGGTCCTTGGCCAGGCTTCCCACCACCCGCGGCAGGGCCGGGCCACGGTCTCCTTTGGCATCAGGGAGCACCTCTCTCATTGGTGGGTTTGAAAGTGGGCTAGGAAAACAATAACTAGCGCTCCCTCACCTCTGCCAAGTGGGGCAGTGACACGCGTCCAGGGGACAGACGCCAGCTTAATGGGACTTTGTTCTCCGTTTCGGAGGTCTGCTCAGCCAGCACCCGGAATGGAAAGGGGCCAGCGCGTGCTGGAAACCGCCACCCTTCTCCCCTCCCCGTTTCTTTGCAAACAATGTCGGGTCACCTCAGTGCGGCCAGTGACATGCCTGTCAACAGCTACAAGGAGGCTTGGCGGGAGGCCAGAGGTGACGCGACACGGCTTGTTGGGAGAAAAGCCGGTTCCTTCCAGGCCAGAGTGGCGGCCCTCTTTGCTCAAGTGGGCCGGAGGCGCTGAGTTCCCAGGGGGTGAGGTCATCCCGGCGCCCCCTCGAAGTGTGCTCAGGGGCACCGGGATTCCCAAGCCTGTCCAGACCCTCTGCGGGGCCCCTCAGCCGAGGTCTCCTGATAAACGAGTCCAGGAAACTCCATCTTCAGAGGCGCCAGCTCCCGGGCTCGGGGCCCCACCGAGGATGGGGGTGGGGGTGGCGATGAGCCCTCGCTCTCTCTCAGCACATCGCTGCCTCCTTCATCTGGCCTTTGCGGAGCTTCCACTCCACGCCAGGGCCTGTGCTAGCTGGCTGCAGGGACACGGGCCCCGACGGATCACACACGGTCCCTGCCTTCCCTGAGCAGGGGCGCAGCGCAGACACCGTGACAGCCCAGGGCGTCCCCGAGCCAAGGGGATGCTTCTCTGAGAAGCTCCTCTGCAGACAGAGGACGAAGGGCCGGCGGGAGGATAGACGACGGGGAAGTGTGTTTCAGGCAGGGGAGCAGCACAGGTCAAGGCCTGGAGGTGAGGACCAGCTGAGGGCACTTGGGGGACTGCAAGGAATTCAAGGCAGAAGGGAGAGGGCAGGGCGGAGGGCAGGGGGCCAGGGGCTAAGGTCCCAAGGGGCCTTAGAGCCA